GGGCACCATCAGCTTTCTTCACCACATTTGCTTATGCACACATTTGTCTTCAGTGATCATGTCGGGAAGGTGTGCGTCATGGAATGCCAATTTAATAGAACAACATGTTCTTGCATTGAGTAAGTACTTGAGTGGAGGCCCAATGGCTTTGACTACATTTCAACGATCAGTCTAGATCTGCAGTTCTCAATCTGTGGGTCACGACCCCTTTGGAGGTCGAAAGACCCTGTCACAGGGGTCACCCTGGTTCATAACAGTAGCAAAATACAGTTATGAAGTAGCAACAAAAATAATGGTTGGGGGGTCACCACAACATGAAGAACTGTATTAGGAAGGTTGAGAACCACTGGTCTAGAAAGACTGTGGAGAAACAGGGTTATTTTAGCCTTTAGTAAGATATCTCAAGCTCCTTAAAACCCAAACTAATCTCATTCTCTTTCTTCCTGGTTTCTCCTGTTTTCACCAGGTTACTTAATAATCTAAACCAGAAATCAGATTTCTACTACATTCCCCCTTACTAGAACCCACATATTCAATTGGTTACTAGATCCTGTTTTAGTTTTGAGATTCCTCATTTGCCATGACTGTTGTAATAGTATCTTTTACAGTCATGTCCTGACAATACTCCTAGCTCTTATTATTTTTGGACACCAGAAGGAATTTTCTGAAACCCAGATCTGTTGACATTACTCACCTCTTTAAAACCCTAGAGAAAATGTCAATTCTCTATCCTATAACATTTAGCACTGTGTATCTGTCTTACCTCTCCATTTCCTAGACCCTTTCCTAGACCCTACTTTAAGCCTCTAGCCTTTTAGCTACTTGCTTTTCCTAAAACTTAACAGGAAATTTTAATGAGTTGGATGGTATGCTTATTCTCTCCACTTGCATGTAGTGTGTCTTCTACATGGAATATCCTTGCCCCTTGAGTTGCCTGTCAAACTCTTAATGATCCTTCAGAATCCAAGATTCTGATGCCTCGTTTTTTGATGCCTTCCTTCCCTATTCAAACAGAATGGACTCTTCATTATGTCTTTGGTCACAATTGTACCTGGTACACAATTTTGTTAATACACTTGCAACATTCCAGTGAAATTTTATTTGTAGGTTTCTTACCCTTAATAAATTGTGAACTCTTAAAGAACTAGATCTTTGTTTTGTTCACTGTTAATGTTGAGTTTATTTGTCGATCTTGTTGTTAGCTGTAATTGATTTGGCTCTCAACTCATGTCAACCATATGTGCTACAAACTCCATAGGGGTTTGTAGGCTGACATCCTTACAGAAGTAGTCTGTCAGGCCTTCTGGGC